ACACTCACACGAAGCATATAATTCAGCACACCAATTACAAACACAAACCAAGAGCAGTTCAGGATTTACCAAAAAAACCAGAGCACTGCATCGATCCGTTCCTAGAACCTGCATTGCCGTCTCAAAATGCAACCGTCTTGCTTTCGTGTCATTTTGTGAAAATTTTGTTCTATAAATAAAACCAACTTTTCAAATTTGGTATCTGCTGTCGATATATCCAATAAACCACATATAAAATTCTCTTGATGAGTCAGGATGGGGTAAAATTGTACTCCAACTCGCGAGATAGAGGGGACGGTTTTTTTTTCTGTTCTCTTTTCTGCTAGTACGTGCACCACTGTCATTGAAAATGGCGAGAAAATAGGAGAAAAATGATGTGGCAACGTCTATGAACGTGGGAGAGAGAAATGGATGGGAACTTGCAAGTGACTGCCGAATAACATTAGAAACAAAAACTATTAAGATTCTTTCGTGAAATTAATGCGGTGGCGTAGTGCGCGTCTTGTTCCAGTTCAAGTAGAAGGAGAACATAAGGAGAAGTATAATGTCAAATGTGAATTATGAACTAAGTAATTACAGCCAATCCCTTAAGAATTTCAAAGGGTTTGTCTGGTTTTTTTGTTTTCGAATTTTGTCACCATAACAGGCAATCCATACTTTGCATTTAAAATTCAGGGAAGAGACGATTTCCAGTTAAACAGTTTTTCGAGTTGTTGAGTCCATCACAGTGGAGTCATCCTGGATTCCTGAAAGCCATTATGTGTTCATCCGTGGGATTCTGCTGAGTCTGGATGTTCTATATAAGGGCAACAAGGATGGTCATGCCAGAGTTAGAGCATACGCTAGAAGACCAGAAATCCATATACTAGGTGCAATTTCTCCCTCTTTACCCAACCTTGATTGAGGATGAGGACCCAATACCGATGTGCGTGCAGAAGCTTCTCCTGATGCTCCTAGAGTTCAACCTGACTAAGATTTTTGAGATTCTACAACCAAAGACAGTCAGCCACTGCTTCAGATTTTTGCTTGGTGATCTGTCCTGTGCAAATGTGAATGATGTCAAACTGTGCGTGGCTCTGGCGTTGGCTCCGGAAATGGATCTGAAGTTGCTTTCTCAACTGAAAATAGGACAGCGGAACGGAAACCTTTTGGAGTTTGTACATGCAATGGATATGGAAGATTTTCTCAGATCGCCGCTTGGCTTGTGCCAACCTTTCCTTTTATGATTACTAGGTTCTAGGAAAGGTTCCACGTACACGCAAGAGCCAACAATACTTGATGAAAGTTCTTCTGAGGCGACGAGTATCATAAGAGACATAACCGACTTTGGTGGCAGTGCTAGTGTCTTCCTAGAATTGAGTGGGTCTCATGACAGAAACAATGCCGTCTAAAGGCTGCCCCGAGGGAAGGTGCTGCCGGTTTTCTTACTAATCTTTTGAAAGTGAGTGCAATTCTCGAGTCTCGGCAAAAGGGCGCGCCTTTTCTACTGGTACAGCAAATGCTGCATTCCCTCGGTTACTCCTGTAGGCGATGTTTGCTGCACAGAATGATTTTTGTCAGCGTGCACGTCAGCGATCGCAAAGATCGTTGCTGAGATAAAACATTCTGGTGCCGCTGCTTCGGCCAGCACTGCCCCACTGGTAATCTCGAAACTGTGGCGGCTCCCTCAACGTGGTTAAATCCACGAAGATCCTGGGTCACCTGATTCACGACCTGTATCTCCATTAATTCCCGTGTGTGGAATCTAGGAAGGTCGCATCGGCTTTCTGGAAGAGCATCGAAAGAAGCTGCCCGTCTCTTCCTGCTCGCGTGAATTCAGAAGATCACTTGGCTTCCCAAATTACAGAGGCAGACTGTAGCAGTTGGAAACCTCTTTTTTTGGTTTTACCAAGACTTACCTCGAATATGGAGTTGCAGATATTCAGCAAAGCTTGTGACATGATTAATGACAGAACTTTCGTCATCGAAACGAAAGATGACAAACTGCCCGGTTATTTCGACGACGACAAACTGCCCGGTTATTTCGAATGGGATCCCGAAGCTACCGCAGTTTATTTTGGTGGCGGGTTCATGCGGATCTATGGCGAGCATCGCGCAAGAAACTTTGAAACCTCAACATTGTGATTAAGGCACTTCTGTAATCGCAAATTGCCAGGTACAGAGGCGGACGTGGCAATCTGCTCATGCTAAAAACTGAGAGAGAGACAATGCGAGAGCCCAAAGAAACTAGAGCATTAAGGAGTTTCTGTCATTATTCTAATAAAATAGGGCACAATGACTCTTGAAATAAGAGGCAAGTAGTACATCAAAAACTAAATTCGGAGTTCCACGACCAATGGGCAGCGAGATATGCATAAATTAAGAAAAGCCACAAAGAACTCCCATCTTCCTCACTTCTTCTCAATTAGCTTTTCGATCATGTCCGCGGCTTCCTGGACAGTGGTGATACTTTGAGCACTTTCTTCCTCCACGCTAATCCCAAATTCCTCCTCAAGTCCCATCACAATCTCCACCTAAAATGAGAAAGAACAGTATTCTCATCACAATGCCATTTTATGTGATAAAGGAGTAAGCTGGTACACGGTCGGAATCAGAATAAAAGAAAAACAGTTCCCATATCGCAAAAGTACTGGCCAGCACCGTTTTAGAATGAATGGATAAAGTAAAAGCTCGTTAAAATCTGCGGAAAAGGAAAAAGACTTGTGGATGAACGGCTTACAGTGTCCAGAGAATCAGCTCCCAGGTTAGCAAATTTTGAGTCTCCAGTCACAGTAGCATCATCTGGTAAAGCTAGCTGCTTCCTCACTATTTGGCACACTTTATCCACTGTAGCTGGTTTAGCCTGCTCATATCTCAAGTCGATTATTTACAAGTTGTAAAACCTACACATGGGCTTCACACTGAATGGATAGAAGATTGGCAAGACCAATCCAAGCATTCCCCCACGAGCAAGCAAAATGATATGTTGGAACATAGTATGAATAATATTCTGGGCAGCCACTTTCCCCAGAAGTAGCATGTTTCAAATGACTTGGTTATAATCACACAGCAAGATTGTCCAACACGTGACAAAAAATGACCCAGACTTCAGACATATAAGTACTTGTAATCACTTTGTTATGCTTTAGTTTTTCCACTGTTGACATGACATAGTAATACATACCGCACATGAAACCTGGAAGCGGCGTGCTTTAAGAGAAGGGAAACTTCTGCCACCGATAGGGAGGGAAACAGACCTGACATTAGATATCTTGCCAACAGGTACCTGTTCAAAATGTCAAAAGTGAGCATCACCATGGTGCTAAGTAAGCTCATAGTGCTATACAAGTCAGGTCAAAAGTACAATGCCAAATGTTTTCTAAGGTTTCAGAGATCCAGTCTCGTTCAAAGTGCAGAACCTCAACCATGTCAGCCAAGCTATATCCCAAATTGCACAGAAAATTTGGTAGAATTATATTTTGCCCCCAAGTTATTGGGATAGTGACAAGTTACCCATGATGTTTCAAGTTTTGCAATTTGTCCCCTGACCTTTTGTAATTGGAGGCAATGTGCAGCAAAATTTTCACATAATTCTGACCAGGTGACCGCACGTGTCTAGTTATGAAAAGCAAACTGGACATATATCATCTATATAAGCGAAAAAAGAAAAACACAGGGACTACCCAAAAAGATATATTTCAAAACTATATATTGATGTGCATTCGGCGTTAATCCAGTCAAATTCTCGACGGAATTTTAGTCACATGCTCTCACGTGCAATATATTTGTTAATTATTCTTCTACTTTTTATATGTATGTGCTTATATGATGAATTTTTCCTCCATAATCAATCGCGTGGTTGGAGCTCTAAGCGGAAATTGATCAAAGTCAATCCAGGAAACACATTGCAATATATTTCTAAAATTCATGGGCATATTGCAAAAATTGAAACATCACGGGCCAATTTGCAACAACTCTAAAAACTCGGGGGGCAACATGTAATTTGCCCGAAAAAATATTTACTGAGTTTTCAGACCAGTAGATTACTAGCAATTATTAGACTAACATCAAACCTCAAGAACCTTTGGAAGCTAATGGAGATGCTACTATCAGCATCACCAATAACCACAGCAACGAGACAGCAAAAACAAACTAAAATAAGTAAAAAAAAAATGCATAAATATGCAAAAGCTACTACCTGAGAGCAACTTGACAACACATCGAAAAAGACCAAACTAGATCAATCACCAGAAAGGGTGCCCAAGTTGAATCCCCATATTTACAGCTTGCAAGACGGAACGATTAGAATCGCGAGCAGAGCAGCCACAAAGCAGCAGAAAGGTAAAACCAAGTATTACCAGCCTGAACTCATTATTAACCTCAGACAGCTCATTTAGTCAATGTAGATATTTGGAAAGTTCATTTGGCAGTGCTGTAGCTTTCCAATGTAGTTACAAATGCATGCCTTAGTGATGCTTACGCAGTTCACGCATTCCTCTATCTACCCAGACTACCGCCACAAACATGTACTCATCTTCCCAACGAGCCCTATCAAATCCTTAACATAGCCAAAAACTCGCTCTGTTTGATCAATCATCACACACATCTTCCAAAACAAAGCATTCAGAACCAGCATATCCCCTCCAGCAGAATTCATAAATCCAGACACTAAACACATCAAAAGTAAAACAGTTTCTCCTATCTTTTTTCCACCATCAAGCTGAACGAAACACCACTTCTCCACCAATCCACGACAAAAACTCGACATTCACCACAACCCAACGGACAAAAAAAAAAAAAAAAAACACCTCCAGCGCCAAAACCACGAGCACATTCCATCCTAATCCGTACAAAAGCTAACGTCAAGATCTGCATCCCATCAACCACAGCGATCAAGCACCAAAAAACACAAACCGACCGCGCAAGAATCGACACCCGCGATCAACCAAAGTCACCAAAGCCTCATCACGACGAAAACCCATTTCGAGAAATCGCGAACCCACCGACACCCATCACCGTACCTGCGCCTGCCTCAGAGCGAACGAAGCCCGAGCGGGTGCTGCTCCGGCGGCGGCGGCCATTCCGAGCTCCGAATCAATCAACAGAAAGCCGAACGAACTAAAGAGAGAGAGAGAGAGAGGGAGAGAGGGGGAGAGAGAGAACGCGACGAGCGTGAGAGGGAGAGACGATGCACCTATATAAGGGGAGAGGCGTGTAGGACGCTGTTTGGTTTGTTCGGAGGTTTCTCTCTTTTGTAGTTAAGACTTCTCGTGCTGGCGAGTGAAGAGAGCCGGCTTTGTTTGTATCGAAACCGCAGGGGTAGGGGCTATTTGGCTACGGGGCTTGTCCTATCCCCGCGATCGGATAGCACGCACCTCCGACTTCTTGTTCTCATGCACGTGCGTGGACGGCGCTTTATTTCGTTCCTTCCTGTCACGTGATCAATATCTTAATTTTAATTGCTTTCGTCGGACGAACATTGTTTTCGGGAGATAAGGACATTATAAATATCAGAAATTTCCGTACGGCTCTCGTTTCAATGCAAAAAAGTTTTGTTCGGATCACCGAAATGTCAACTCCAATTTGGATCATCAGAAATTCAACAATTTAATCTCTCTTGATTTAAACGATCACTAAAAAGGGTGCTGTTCAGTCTCCTTATGCCCGTTATTTTCTCTTTCTAACCACTCTACTATTGTTCTTTTCGAGAAAGCAAACATATTAAATGAGCATTTTTGTTATATTCTTAAAAGAACATTTTACTCAAATCGGTAGTTGGGTCGTAGGGATGATTAGAGAGTTTCACCGAGTGCACTTCTAATTGAAAATGGCTGGTTCAACTTCTTCCTTTTAACCCTACCAATCTACCCTTCTCTTTAGCTAACTCCACGTTTCTCTCTTTAAAGCTAAACCTATGTTACAGCAGTTAGGTAATATGTTGAATGAAAGCGGAATGAATATTTTAAAAGCGAGACGAAATAGTGTTTTGGCTTACAGATATATGGATATTTAAAGCCGGAATGAATATTTTAAAAGCGAGACGAAATAGTGTTTTGGCTTACAGATATATGGATATTTAAAGCCGGTCGAAGCACATGTATTCGGCAGCAAAATGATTACTGTGTTTGGCAAAAACTGCTACGAAATTGTTGTAGTTATCAAGACGACGAAAAGACCTACAATAACATTTATGTCTTGTAGTACCGGAACTTTTTTTTTTTGGTAACCGAGGTGTCCGGGCCAGTTTGCGCGCACCTCGACTATTCCTCGGGGGAGACTAACACAGCAATCAGTGTGCCTAACCACACAATCCTAAGTATGCCCTAACCAACTAAGCTACCCATGGGTGGGTGTATCGGAACTTTTGTAAATACCAATAATAACAACAATGATTGTGGAACTTTTCTTGCATTTTTGTCTTTTGGGAACTCAAGATTTTTCCAATTACACCATCCATAGAGTCAAACCAGGAATATACATTTTAAGAGCACATCGTCTCCAACTGAAATACCAAAGCTTCCAGGTTTATACATGAGATTGCAGACGAAAAAATAAGGCAACACAATGCTGAACCCTAGATATACACAATCTACTTAAAGCCCAATTAGGCGGCGACCAAAACCTTCTCAGCTACGGGTGGATAATGTATCCAACTGCAAGGGCAATAAGAGCGACCGCACAAACATACAGGAAAGGAAATCCCACTTGAATTGCTCTCCCACCTGTCTTCCTCAACATCTCCTGTTGAACAAAGCAACAATCTTTCCCCGTAAGCTTTGGTATTCGAATGTTGAAAGAAAGTATATTGCACCATATCTTGGAGATGGGGCAAGATTGGCATGATGCACGTAATGGGGAAAACATTAAAGTGCACATTACTCACCAGGTCACGCTTAAGTGCATCTCTCTCTCGATTCTGCAAACTTCTCTCCTCTGTCAATCTGCTGATGGTAAGCTCTGCCTGCAAAGTTTGGTGCGTCTTTTGCTATTATCTTCTTTGAAAACTCAAAGACGGAGAGAGGTAGGAAGATAAGCAACATTGAAGAGGAGCGGAAACCACAAACTTGCAACGGAAGTCACAGAAAGCTGTCTGCTTTGAGATGCATGACAGACTACGCATATGGTCATTGTTATCTTCATGGCCAAAAAACAATTATTTCTCTGGGACTCTAATTAAGTTTTATAAGATTCACATCCAAATAGAGGAATAATATTGTACTTTAGGCTCCCCTAATGCCTGCAAAAGCTACTACCTGAGAGCAACTTGACAACACATCGAAAAAGACCAAACTAGATCGATCACCAGAAAGGGTGCTCAAGTTGAATCCCCAAATTTACAGCTTGCGAAGCGGGACGATTAGAATCGTGAGCAGAGCAGCCACAAAGCAGCAGAAAGCCAAAACCTAGTCTAGCTAGCCTGAACTCACTATTAACCTCAGACAGCTCATTTAGTCCATCTAGATATTTGAAATGCTCATTTGGCAGTGCTGTAGCTTTCCAATGAAGTTACAAATGCACGCTTTAGCGATGCTCACGCAGTTCACGCATCTCTCTATCTACCCAGACTACCGCCACAAACATGACCGTTTTTCGAAAACCGCCAGAACACGTACTCATCTTCCCAACGAGCCCTATCAAATCCTTAACATAGCCAAAAATTCGCTCTGTTTGATCAATCATCACGCACATCTTCCATGACAAAGCATTCAGAACCAGCATATCCCCTCCAGCAGAATTCATAAATCCAGTCACTAAACACATTAAAAGTACAGCAGTTTCTTCTTCTTTTTCCACCATCAAGTTAAACGAAACACCACTTCTCCACCAATCCATGACAAAAACTCAACATTCACCACAACCCAACGGACAAAAAAACACCTCCAGCACCAAAACAACGAGCACATTTCGTCCTAGTCTTGGAAAACAGCTAACGTCAAGCTGATAACACGCCTCGAAAACCCGAAAGAACTACATCCCAGCAAACACAGAGATCAAGCACCAAACAAAAACCGACCACGCAAGAATCGACACCCGCGATCATCCAAAGGCACCAAGCCTCATCACAAGGAAAACCCATTTCGAGAAATCGCGAACCCACCGACACCCATCACCGTACCTGCGCCTGCCTCAGAGCGAACGAAGCGCGAGCGGGTGCTGCTCCGGCGGCGGCGGCCATTCCGAGCTCCGAATGAATCAACACAAAGCCGAACGAACTGAAGAGAGGAAGAGAGAGAGAGAGAGAGAGAGAGAGAGAGAGCGAGAACGCGACGAGCGTGAGAAGTAGAGACGGTGCACGTATATAAGGGGAGAGGCGTGTAGGACGCTGTTTGGTTTGTTCGAAGGTTTCTCTCTTTTGTAGTTAAGACTTCTCGTGGGGGCGAGTGAAGAGAGCCGGCTTTGTTTGTATCGAAACCGCAGGGGTAGGGGCCGTTTGGCTACGCGGCTTGTCCTATCCCCGCGATCGGATAACAAACGCCTCCACCTTCTTGTTTTCGCGTGCGTCGGCGCTTTACTTCGTTCCTTCCTGTCACGTGATCAATATTTTAATTTTAATGGCTTTCGTCGGACGGACATTGTTCTCGGAACAAGGATACCATAAAATGCCAAAAATTTTATACGGCCCTTACTTCGGTGCAAAAAATTTTGTTCGGATCACTTCAGTGTCAGCTCCAATTTGGATTGCCAGAAATCTGATAATTTAATCTCTCTCGATTTAAACGATCACTAAAAAAGGTGCCGTTCAGTCTCCTTATGCCCATTATTTTCTCTTTCTGACCACTCTACCGTTGTTCCTTTCGAGAAAGCGAGCATATTAAATGAGCATTTTTGTTATATTCTTAGAAAAACATTTTACTCGAATCGGTAGTTGGATCGTAGGGCTGATTAGAGAGTTTCACTAAGTGCACTTCTAATTGAAAATGGCCGGTTAACTTCGGGATTGGGGTGTCGAGTTGGGGCTATTTTGGGGAAAACTGCCCCCAGTCTATGAGAAGTTGTTTTTTTGGTCGCAGATCATACGAGTTGTTGATTATCAATTGGATGTCTATTTTGCTGCTGCCAAATTATTCCAACGCCCTCATGGCACGGACCTAATTTTTCTTTTTAATGGTATGTCGGTCGAGTATGTAGGTGGCAATTGTGGACAAATGACCTGAAGGGATGGAAAATGTAATTCGGAAATTAAAGGCTTCCAAACACTCTTCTCAACGAAATTCATGATTTAGTGAGAAAGTCGCCCTATACAAAGGACAAAGATTGAAGGCAAAAGCAGATTCCCTTGTTATACACCACCTGGAGCTTTTCTTAGTTCTCCATTCCTAAAAAGCTGCATATTGTTAATCGCAATAAATCGCTTGATGGGATCCACCAGGCACCAATGAGCCACGAAGTCCAGTCACGTGAATTCACACCTTAACCTATTGAACGCCTTGCCCAAATCCACCTCGACTAGCATGTAGCCTTCCTTCCCCTTCATTTTGCACGGTTAATGAATGATTTCCTTAGCAATGATGATATTATATTGGACATGATGACTTGAAACGAAACTTACTTGGTTGAGTGGTTGAGTAAAGTCAAGTTTAGCTTAAATTTATGCAATCAAATCATGATAATCTCAATGATAATACCGAAGGAAATATTACAGAGGCTAATAGACCGACATTGCTCCAACCGTTTAGGAAAGTCAACTTTGAAAATCAAGGTGATAAGAGTTTGGTTGATGCTTTCTGAATTCCCAGCACCAAGCCAGAGTTTCTCAATTTCAAGACCGACTGAATAGCTCACAGTCATCCACTGATGTCGATAAAATACTGCTTAAAAGTCATTTGGTCCTGGCACTTTAAAAGGCCCCCTTTCCAAACATTGCAATCTAGATTTTATCCCTCCACAAACTCTAAAGCTAATCGTAGGATAAGTTGATAAGTTGATTAAGCCATTAGACCGAGTAAGCCTTCGCTCTTCTACTATGTACAAGTTCTAGACATAGGAGACAACCAAACTTCACACTCAACTGACCACAAATTGTAAATATCATCTTCCACTGGAAATCCTGACAACACGTGTCTTGATAGATGCCCACGCACTAGCCCGCAGATTGCAATAATGACACTGCTCGAGGCACGCTTGCGTCTTTGCCCGTATATAATTGCAGTGTCACTATCGCACTTGCCGGCGACTGCATGAGTGATGCGAATCCGCCAACACCGGCAAGATCTTCAGCTTTCGATAGATACAGATGTTGATTAAACGGACCGACTGCTACTTGATAAGGACAACATGGAGGAAAAAATAAAATCTCGCTAGA